CATTCGCAGCATATCATCCCAATCTAGTTCAGGTGAACAAAAAATATTGAAGAAATGCAACGACAGGATCCAGAAATTTGTGTCATTACTCAATTGTTGGAAAAATCAACAAGCAAACCTTCTTGGAATGAAGTGTTATCCGATTGCCCAGCTGTCAAAACATATTGGGGACAATGGGGATCTTTACAAATGGTTGAGAGAAAACTTTATTGTTGTTTGGACACTAGGAGATGGAAAACACCTCCGGAGATACCATAGAAAAAGCTCGATGTTCCAAAAGAGCTTCGAAGAATGGTATAGGAACAATTTCTTTGGGGCAAAAAATACATTCTTACAGTCGTTGATTATTTTCAGTCGTTGATTATTTTACTAAATGAGCAGAAGCGTACTCTTTGAAGAATCAACAGGCAGTGGTGGTGGCAGACTTAATGTTCGGACGTGAATTAGATTTGGCCATTGATCTATTTTATGGCCGGCCTCTCGGTGAGAAAGTAAGGACATGAACGACTATATGCATAGCTTGCAGAGAATAATGGAGAACGTCCACGAATTTGCGCGAGTGAGAAATCGAGTGACAAGTCACAAAATGAAGAGGACTTATGATATTCCTGCGTTCAAATGCAGAGAATCTCTCCAAAGCGTGTGACTGGGAGGGACCATATGTAATTATATGAAACGAATTAATGAATTGTACAGAGTGAGGAAGTCTAGTCGGGATAAACCTCGTGTTGTCCATCGAAACAGACTTAGGGGTTATGTTCATGAACCCTCCGCATTACTACTTTAAAATACACACTAACCACGCTTGCTCTTGTCAGCTACCCCTGTAGCTCAGTTGCAAGAGCACTCCACCGGCATCGCATGTAAGCGTAGATTCGATTCCTGCCGGAGGACCGATCAATAGTTGACTAATTTTTCTCAACTGTTCCTGGCTTTAATTGAGTTGTGTATGATTCCACTCGAAATCAAGACCTTTTTAAAACCTTTAAAATTCACCTACATCAAGTGAAGTGCCACAAAATCGTAATTGGTTTACCCTCACATAGAATTATGCTTATATACAGGGTGTATCAAGAAAAATGTCCCAAATGTAAAATTTCCGTTTTTCAGGATATTTTGCAGAATTTGGCAATTTTTTGTGTTCCTAGAGATAGTTAAGACTTATCTGGTATACCTAGGCAAAGTTTGGTTTTTCATTAACAAAATTATGTTACCAGGGGGGTGGTTCCTTTCCACTGATATTGAGAGGGCTTGCGTGCGAAAATGTTAAGCTGAAATTGAGATATTATTTAGCTGTATAAAAGTAGGAAAGCTTTTTAATAAACTGTCAAAGTTTCAGGAAAAATAATGCAAACTGGGAGCAATGCGCGACCCCTAAAAGTGACAAATATTTCATTGCGCGCAGTGGAATAAATGCATGGTTGATTTTAGCGTGACCGATCTCATGCAAGGCTGTGCAAATGAATAAATTAAAGCGAGTATCTGAACAAGAAAACGAAGCGATTTAATAACAAGATTTTTATTCTTGATGTTAATCCTTAACATTTCTACCATTTCTTTCTAAGCAAACTGCGGCTCGTCTGAGCATGGTAAACACTGAACGGCGAACCACATTTGTCTGTCCTGCCTCAAATTATCCATTTCGTTCGAAATTCTTTCTTGCAAATCGCCTACGCTACCACCGGCAAATCTAGGTGAATGGACAGACAAATGGTTCGCTGTTCAGTGTTTAGTATGCTCAGACAAGCCGCAGTTTGCTTAGAATGAAATGGTGGACATGCTGAGGATTAACATCCCGAATAAATCACTTTGTTTTTGTGTTCAGTTTCTCAATTTAATTTATTCATTTGCCCACCTTGTATGAGATCGGTCACGCAAAAATCAACGATGCATTTAATCCACTGCGCGCAATGAAATATTTGTCACCTTTAGGGGTCGCGCGTTGCTCCCAGTATGCATTATTTTTCCTGAAACTTTGACAGTTTATTAAAAAGCTTTCCTACTTTCAGACAGCTAAATAATATCTCAATTTCAGCTTCACATTTTCGCGCGCAAGCCCTCTCAATATCAGTGGAAAGGAACCACCCCCCTGGTAACATAATTTTGTTACTGAAAAACCAAACTTAGCCTAGGTATACCAGATAAGTCTTAACTATCTCTAGGAACACAAAAATTTGCCAAATTCTGCAAAATATCCTGAAAAACGGAATTTTTACATTTGGGACATTTTTTTGATACACCCTGTATATTAGATGGCTGCAAATACAATGTAAAAAAATGAAAGATGATACATATGTATTTTAGTGAAATTGTTCTTGCATGTTTTATAAACTATCAGTATGCAATATGAAAATTTGGAAATTCAAATTTAGATCCAAAAAGTTTTCATTTCCAATCACACGTTTCCATAAAAATACTTTAGAAATTGTGTAGGAAAAACCTGTGGTATTTAGTGACTGTCTGATCTGAATCATATCATTCTGAGGCAAAACTAAATATTCAATTTCCAGAATTGCAGAACGTTGACAGCATTGCCCTGGCGCAGTTGTAAGATGCGCGGTTTCTAAAACCCATTTTTTAATTTCAACACTGAAGCTGTCGTAAATAACACATTGCGTTTAACGGCTAAGTTACAGCAAATATAGCAAGCTAGGTCTTCTGAAAATACCTGTATCACGGTATGTAGTTAATAACTAGTAATCGCCGATCAATATTTGCAAACAAACGTATCGATCGAATTCAAATTGTTCCACCGGCTGGACGTTCTAATTGACTCGCACAGGTAGTGCTCATATTAAATCCAAATTGGGCTTCTTTTACCCTTCGTTTTGCATCATTTGGTAAAGCTTGATTTTAAGATGGAAAGTCAAATATTTGCTCTTTCTTGCTCCGTAAATTAATTAACACATTTAACAATTGCAAAGGCACATGCTCGATCCTTTCAAACTTTCCGGAAATAAAAGTTGCCATTTCCCGGGGTATGTTTGTTGAATCGACCCGGTCTGCTACTAGATTAGCCTGCAACTGGGATATACTATTTTCCGGCTGTAAGTTTATTTATGATTCGTAGTCTGGTCTATGCTGGTCGAGCGCTGCCAGATAATATTTTCTTAATTTTTATGTACTTAAAATCAAAAATAAAGACAATGTTAAATTTGAAATTGAATGCAAAGTCAATCAGAGTTTTAAATACATTACAAATTGCGTAGAGTTAAAACGCAAAACAAAAACAGATTGAAAATAAAGTACAACTTAAATTGAAAATAAAAAGCAATGTACAATGAAAATTCAAACAGAAGTAAAAGTAAATATTTCTGTGGCCGAGCGCTGCCAATACCATAATACCATGCGCGCATGAAAGATTCGCGGGCGTGCATGATTATATGCATGGTTATTTTAATTACAGTCCATTCCGTAAATACCCACACACGTGCGAGGAAAATATTGCTCTTGTCAAAATGTCTAATTGGAGGCAGTTCAAGTTACAACAAAAGCAAAAAAGAATGGCTGAAGTGAAGAAAGGTAAAGGAGAGTCAAATGAAGTCGCGGACGAAATTGTAGTTCAGAGAATGAGCTCAGAAGTGTCAGGTAAACAGCAGAAATATTCCCGAATCGGCCCCCAAGAATTTGTGCCGTTTGATTATGAGGAAATAACGTTCGAAAACATTGTTCAATCTTGCCAAAAGCATTTTGCGGAATTGCAGGGCAAATTGAGAAAGACACAGTATGTGACATCGTAGCAGGCGAACGTGGCCCATCGTGTAAAACTATGAGCCAAATACCGAACAAAAAGGTATTTTACGTGCGATTCATTAAACCCAAAACACCAAGCGAACTCAGCGCAATTTTCGATGATGAGTCGAAGATCTAGCTCTCGAAGATCAGGTTTGTTCATTAATAATGCAATAATCATATAATAGTCTTTTGTGTGTGTTCTCCATTGTATACATTTTCTCTATAGTGGGTTGGAGATTCCCGTTAGAAGTCCAGGTTGATTTATTACAAACAAAAAACTATTAAATATGCAGGATTAATATGTGTGCGAAACATACAAAAAAGGTCAAGCAGCTAGCTATCGTTATACCCAATTTGTGTAGCTCTAGTATATTATCTGCTTTTGTGTGTAAAGTGCATTATGGAATTTTCCATCGCCCCATGCCACAATTCAGTGAACAAGATGCCACACCCTTTATGAACACCAATTTATTCACGTGGAATGAATTCTGAGAACATAGAAAAATTTCTTTCTTTATACTTTTAATAATAGCCACAGAAAAAAATCAGGCAAACAGGCAGAACGGCTATGTCTCATCCTAGCCCTCAGAAGAATACAAATACATCAAAACAAAGCAACAAAAGCAAATTCTACCCCAAAAGTTTATCGCTAAAAGACATGCTGCATCTAGGAAAAGCCTTTCCAAAAAAGGAATCCACTATTATTTCTATATTTCAATTTAATTTTAAACACATGCTTTGGTCAACAGTGGCTATAAAAGCAGAATTTATGATTGAAGAGTCACCGTTTGCTGCTGGTGGTTTCCGAAAAGCATTTAAAGCCACCAGTATAACACCAGGCTTTGAGGAAACTACATGGGTAGTGAAGAAGTATTTGCCAAGTGCTGTTGACACAATTACAAAAACAAAAGAGACCGAACAAACACACACACAGAAGTCAGTGCAAATGCACTATTTGGCAAAAAATTTTGCTTTCACAATTACATAAAAAAGTTGCCAAGGATGGAATTAAAGATTTTGGGCGGATCTTTGAATACAGAAAAGTCTTTATGGGCAAAACGGATGAAGGGAAATATGTTACAATTGAAGAGTACTGTAATGATTGACGTTATTAGGCGGGAGCATGGGGACGAGAGATATACGAGAAAGAAGCGTGTTAAAGTTTGGGGGACGTTTTGTAGTTTAAAATATAAAGTATAAAATATGAAATCAGAGTGTGTTTAATTATTACATTGGCGACGAGGACAAAAAAAATTTTTTTTACAATGAATGGCTTACAGCCAATGCCTTTGTTCGAACCGAAGGCTGATCCAACGAATACAAGCGCTCGATGGACACAATGGATTCAACGTTTTAAAACATATTTAGTCGCTACAAATGTGAAGGATACTGCACGTCAAAGAGCACTTCTACTGTACCAAGCTGGGCCTGAAGTTCACGAAATATTTAAAACACTGCCAGACAAAGGAGACGAGAAAGATTACGAAGCAGCTGTCAACGCCCTCACTGCATATTTCGAACCGGAGAAAAATCGTATTTACCAAACATATATGTTTAGACAAGCAGCGCAACAAGATAATGAAACAATAGATGAATTTCACACACGCTTGAGAAGATTAGCAAAGCATTGTGAGTTCACTGATGTTGAATTTGAGATAAAAATGCAAATTGTGTGCAATGGGACATCTTCAAGACTGCGTAAGAAAGCGTTGAAAGAAAGCAATTATTCACTGAAAGATATGTTGATCGATGGTCGCAAATCTGAAACCAGTATAGCCCAAGCCAGTGGGATGGAAGAAAAATTTAAAGATGTACAACTTAATCAAGTGGAGAAAAGACCAGCTGAAGCTATGTGTTATAATTGTGGATTTGCTTACCCTCATGGGGATCGCCCGTGTCCAGCTGCCAATTCAACTTGTAACGCGTGTGGTATAATTGGTCATTTTTCGAGAGTGTGTCGAAAGAAACAATCGCGTCGTTTTCCCAAGTCACAACTTCCAAAAGAATCGCCCCGACGAAGAGAACAATCAAAAGAACAATTGAAATCAGAATCCAAACAAAAAAATCATGCACGGGCAGTCAACAAACATCTCGATTCCTCGACGGAGACCAGTTCAGAAGACGATTATGTGTACACAGTGAAGAACAAAACCAAAGACCACCCAAAGACGAAAACAAACATACGGATAAATTCAACTAATATTAATTTCATTGTTGATACAGGAGCCACAGTTGATGTCATCGATTCCCAAACGTACGATCGCCTCAAATCCAGCGTAAAATTGTGCAAGAGTGCCACACAGATATTTGCTTATGGCTCGGATAAACCACTACCTCTTAAAGGTCAATTTCAGGCAACGTTGGAGTCGAACAAACGTTATACTGTCTCGGTTATTCATGTTGTCGAAGGTGGCTCTGGAAATCTACTTAGTGCCAAAACCGCTCAAGATTTGGCATTAATTCAATTGGTAAACAAAGTCACTGAACTTGAGACGCCACTGAAACCGAAAGTTTCTAAACCGGAAGTCATTTCGAAGAATATGGAAAACACCGGAAAAAGCAATAAAAGCACGGATAAAAGCCAGCCAGCGCTTGCATCAACGCCGAAATGTGCCGATAAAGATATCCAGGAAATTATTGATAAATATGCAAATGTTTTCGTTGGTGAAGGAAAATTGAACACTCAACAAGTCGGGTTGCATATTAATAAGAATATTAAACCGGTAGTTCAGCCGCAGCGCCGGATACCTTATCATATTCGCAAAGATGTATCAAAAGAGCTAGAAAAATTGATGGAGAAAGATATGATCGAAAGAGTCTGTGACCAACCTACACCCTGGATTTCGCCCGTTGTGTGCACCCCAAAGAAGGATGGCGGAACACGAATCTGTGTTGATATGAGGGCAGCCAATGAAGCCATTGAGTGCGAAAGACATATCATGCCAACCCTTTCCGATTTTCGTGCTGAGATGAATGGATCGAAATATTTCTCGAAGATCGATCTAAAGCAAGCCTACCATCAGTTAGAACTGACCGAAGAAAGTCGCTACATAACCACATTTTCGACACATGAAGGCCTCTTTCGTTACAAACGACTGAACTATGGAACAAACAGTGCACCAGAAATATTCCAGAACATTTTGCAACAACACCTTAGTGACATTTGTGGAGTAAAGAATATCGCAGACGATATAATCGTTCACGGGAAAACACGAAAGCAACACGATGAAGCCTTAGAAAACTGCTTGAAACGACTAGATGAACTCAACTTAAAAGCGAAACCCGAGAAGTGTAGTTTCCTACGCAACGAGATTAACTTCTATGGTCTCATTTTTACAGCAAACGGAACAAGACCTGATCCAGCAAGAGTAGAAAATTTAGTCAAAGCCAGAGCACCAAAGAATGCCAGCGAAGTACGCAGTTTTTTGGGTCTAGCTAACACGTGCCGAGAGTATGTTCCAGAGTATGCTGAAATTACTACACCGCTGAGGAATCTCACAAGAAAAAGTGTCGCTTTCACATGGAACAATACTCATCAAAGAGCCTTTTAGAAGATCAAAAAGAAATTGACACAAGCTCCTACTATGGCTTATTTCGATACAGAAAAAAGAAGCTTGCTTATTGTTGATGCATCGCCTTTGGGAATTTGTGCAATCTTAGCACAACGAGAGAAGTCCGGAGAATTGTACCGTATTATCTCCTACGCAAGTTGAGCCCTGTCTCCAGTTGAAAGTCGATATTCTCAGACAGATATTGAAGGTTTGAGTCTAGTTTGGGGAATTGAACACTTTCGACTGTTCCTTCTGGGTAGTGAGTTCGATGTCTATACTGACCATAAAGCTCTGGAAGCAATCTTCAATAATCCGAAATCTAAGCCTCCAGCTCGTATAGAGCGCTGGATGTTACGGTTGCAACCGTACAACTTCCGTGTGATTTACAAGAAGGGAACAATTAATGAAGCTGATTATTTGAGCCGTCATCCTACCAGCACTCAAGAAAAAACCACAATAGAAGAAAAGATTGCAGATAATTATGTAAACTATATCATTAACAACGCCGTACCGAAGTCAATGACACTCCAAGAAATCAAGGATGCCACCCTGTCAGACGCAACTTTAAACAGAGTTGTGGAATGCTTAAAAACAGGGAAATGGGACGAGAAGGATGTAGAACTCAAATCTTATCACATGTGTGCGGAAGAACTAACAGCAACGAAAGCAGGAGACCTTCTTCTGAAGGGAAGCAGAATTGTTATACCAAAATCATTACAAGACCGTGCAATGCAACTTGGCCATGTGGGACACCAGGGAATAGAAAAGACTAAAGCGCTATTACGAGAGAAAATTTGGTTTCCTGGAATGGATAGTAAAATTAAAACCTTCATTGAAAACTGTGCAGCTTGTCAAACTGTTGGTCCCTGTAGTCCACCTGAACCGATGAGTATAACGCCTACAGCAACGGAGCCATGGCAAAGCTTGGCACTCGATTTTTATGGTCCTATTCCCCACAGTGGACAGTATTTACTTGTTGTAACCGACACGTATTCTAAGTTTCCTGAAGTGGAAATTGTGAAGTCAACTTCAGCGAAGGCCTGTATCCCTAAGCTAGACCGTATATTTGGAACTCACGGCATTCCAAAAACAATTAAAACTGATAATGGCCCACCTTTTAATGGGGATGACTTCAAAAGATACATGGCTGCCTTGGGAATCGAATGGACCAGAAGCACTCCGTTATGGCCCCAAGGGAATGGTAATGCGGGGAGTGTGATGAAGCCGCTAGGAAAAGTGATAAAGACTTCTGTGTTAGAGGGAAAGAATTGGAGACAAGAACTTCAACGATTCTTATTAAATTATCGCTCAACGCCGCATGCCACTACTAAGATACCTCCATGTGAGTTACTGTTCAACCGAAAGGTTCAAGGAAGTCTACCTGAGCTATCAACAAAGAAAATCGTTAACAAGCATCAAAGCGCTAAGGAAAACATTGAGAAGAGGAAGATCAGTAATAAGCAATATTATGATGTCAAGAATAACACCAAAACATCCACAATCAAGGAAGGTGACATTGTTATTTGCAAACAAAAACCAATTAACAAGCTATCTCCTAGATTCAATCCTGAGCGATTTACGATCGTGAAGAGGAAAGGAGCAACAGCCACAGCTAGAAACGACAGACGTACTATCACACGCAATGTGTCTCATTTCAAAGTAGTTAAACCTGCGGATGAACAAAGTAGTGACGAAGAGAAGCCCAAAAACGTGGATGATGCACGAGGTAACGGAGTCGAAGATGAGAATCATGAGATGCAGGATATTGTAGAACACCAACCACCACCAAGAAGATCAACGAGAAAACAACAACCTGTAAACAGATTTGGTAACCCAATACCATCTGGACTAGTGTCCTAAAACTTGGGAACTGGAAACAATAACAAACATTTCATAGTTATTCAGTTGAGTTTTTTTAAAAAAAAAAAAGCGATGTAATTATTGACGTTATTAGGCGGGAGCATGGGGACGAGAGATATACGAGAAAGAAGCGTGTTAAAGTTTGGGGGACGTTTTGTAGTTTAAAATATAAAGTATAAAATATGAAATCAGAGTGTGTTTAATTATTACAAGTACATAGACGGGGAATTTGTAAAATACATTAATAACGACGGGTATATTTGTGAGGATGGAGATATTTGCAACAAGGTACAAGCATTTGCTCACTTCACATATGAAAAATCCGAGGGCAAATTGATTGTTTTAGATGTCCAGGGTGCTGGGCATACCCTCTACGACCCCGAAATTGCCACCCTAGAGCTGGTGGGTGATGATGGTAACTATATGTTTTGTACTGGTAATTTGGCTGAAGGAGCAATTATTGGCTTCTTTAACAATCATTATTGCAATAAATATTGTGAACTCTTATGTCTTAAATTAAGGCCAAAGGCTAAATGATTACATCCTAGGGGAATCCTACATTGTGAACTGGTGGCCAACATTGTCTTTGTATGTAAACACATGAACTCTGGGGAAATGTGGTGTACCAGTTAATAGAATACAAGTACAATACAGCTCATTAAATATTGGTGTATGTGTTTTTTTACAAAAAAAACCATTTTCATCATGCTTTTGTTTTTCACAAATCCACAGATAAAAAAGAATTTTAGTCAAAACTATTGCTGTTATTTGGGTAAAAATACAATTAAAGATGTTCACTGTCCTTCCATTGATGTATTCTTTAAACCATGTATTCTATTAACTGTTGCATGTATATATATATATATATATATATATATATATATATATATATATATATATATATATATATATATGACAACCATATGAAAAACATATGACAACCTTTTTGATATACAGTCGTTATCAAAAAGGTTGTCATATGTTTTTGTGTTCAGTTTCTCGCTTTAATTTATTCATTTGCACAGCCTTGTATGAGATCGGTCACGCGAAAATCAACGATGCATTTAATCCACTGCGCGCAATGATATATATATATATACAGTACTGTGCAAAAGTTTTAAGGCCCCCAGTCAAATTGTCACTTGTTAGTTAAATTCATGGTATTGCAAGACATGCTAGGTAGAAAGACTTGTAGTGGTCTTGCACTTGGTACAGCCACCATGAGAGATCATTATTGCAGCACAATGCCCAGTCATTGACCTAACAAGCTTGTTTGTTACATCTGGATCAACAGCCTCATGTGATGCGAAAATGGTCTCTTTGATTCTTCCACATGTCGAGATGGTCTTCTATCTGACCTCTTCCTCACTTATTCCCAAAAATATTCAATGAGGTCTACGTCAGCTATCTCTTATACCCCTGGGCTGGTCAATATCACTTTCTTTCAGGCTTTTTTCTGTATGACATGGTACCCCATCTTACTGGAAGATATAATCTCCACCACAAAGCCATCTTATCTATTAGGAAAGTTCTAGATACAAGCCAAACATACCATTTTCCGTATCTAGTCGAAAATTCACGATCTTGGGACTTTCTAAAAGGTGGAGAGAGCTTTGCGGTTGAGACTTTATCTTTGAAAAAGATAGGGCACCATGTGACAGAGAAAAAGCCCCACAGAAAGAAATATCAATCAGTACAGGGCAACGAAAGAATTCTGACCTAAACCTGTTTGAATATCTTTGCGAATAAGTGAGGAAAAGGTGAGATAGAAGACCATCTAGACATCTGGAAGAATCAAAGAGACCATTTCTCCATCATGTGAGGCTGTTGATCCAGATGTAACAAACAAGCTTGTTGGGTCAATGACTGGGCATTGTGCCCCAATAATGGTCTTTCATGGTGGCTGTACCAAGTGCAAGACCACTACAAGTCTTTCTACCTAGCATGTCTTGCAATACCATGAATTTTACTAACAAGTGACAATTTGACTGGGGGCCTAAAACTTTTGCACAGTACTGTATATATATATATATATATATATATATATATTAATATATATATATATATATATATATATATATATACACCCATTTGCAAAAACGTTGGCCGCAGATAGATATATAGATAGATACTCAAAATCTAATTAGAATTGCATATGCTGTGTAATATGATTGAAATCCCATGCAAATGTAATCATATGCAATTATAATTAGACTTCGAATATCTATCTATCTATCTATTTGCGGCCAACGTTTTTGCAAATGGGTGTATATATATATATATATATATATATTAATATATATATATATTATATATATATTATATATAATATATATATTATATATATATATTATATAATATATATATATATATATATGTGTATATATATGAATAGTTATGAGGTAACATGTCTGGATATTATATGAACTTGGTTTTGGTTAAGCTTTCTTCAGACATAGAATTAAAGCACACGAGGTGTATCTCCAAACGTTTCGCCTGTTATGGCTTCTTCAGTGGAATGCTTTACAATGATATTTCTTCCTATTTATATACAACTAATTAAAATGCTAAATTACCAATGAGTATGCAATGTCTATAGTGTTCCATTATTTTAAATCCTAAAAAAGCATGCTCATGCATTTAATGTGCCATTATTAGGCAAACTTATTAAAACTCACTAATTTATAAAAGTCTATATAGTCCCGTAGTTTAAAATTCTATACAATGTTAATAGATTAGAAATAATTCAAACACTGATTGTTCTGCCAATACAGCCGTTCATCAAGTCTCCAGAATGTTTTTGTATTTCAAATGCTTCAATGTATTTCCTCTGCACGTCATTCGCGATATTAGCATGTAAAATCATCCATCTTATTACAGGTAACCTGGATTTCTTGTAGGATTCCAAATGTTTATAAACCGTCTGCTTTTCCATTTTCAAGTGTTCTTTAATCCTTGATCCGATTGTTCGCCCCGTTTCTCCAATGTATACGATATCACATGCTGAACATTCGATTTTGTAAACAACATTCTTCTTTAGACACAAGTTCGATTTTGAAGATAATTTGCACGTTTCACATTCGCTCGGACAGTTCTGTTGCGTCTTTGGTGGCGCAAAAACTTTAGACAGGGGTTGACCATTGATGAAATGTATTCTTACATTCGGTATTCGTGATCGCTTTACTACCCTAATAGCCTGCCGCTTAAATTCTTCGTTGATAAATGGTAGCTTTATATCATGTCGCAATTTGGACGCCCACATGATTCAAAGGTCTTTTGATGGCATGCTGAAACGGGCAAGAAAGTGTGTTCCTGCTGATGGACATGAATTTGCAGATGAATAAGAACAAGTAAAAAACGATTTTTAAAAAAACAACTAAAAAATAAGTTACAAGATACCATGTTACGAACCGGTATTGTTGAAACAAGTTTAATAGGCCATTTTTTCCTGATTTTCGACAAGTTTCAAAACGTTGCTACGACTTTAAACGCGAATATCTCAGACACTACTCGTTCAAACTTCATATGTAATATATCAAACTTTAAGTTAGACATTACTCCACTTAATATGGATTATTTGATTGCAATTCTTCAGTTTGCTTACAAGTTATGTTGAATTAAAAATAGGTACTTTTTTTTGGGACACACGGTAGTATGGGTACTTTACCATCTTCAGGTCATTCTAACACTAAAAACAAACAGAAAAATTAACCTCGAAAAATGGAAGAGCGGTTTGTGGTAACATAATTTTGAATGGCATGTGCAAACATGAATGAGAAGTTTAAAATCCAATTTGAATTCAAGGGCTGAACGTTTGGGTAATTGTTTACAAAGAATCGAAACTTCAGAAATTTTGATGAAAATTAAGTCAGCCGCGCAACTGCGTAAACGTGGGCTTTTTTCCGTTTAACTCGCAGCTTGAGTAACTTTTTTCATGCACGAATGATTTCATGCATGAGTGATTGCTCGGGTGATTAAGCTAACAATGGTGTTGTAAAAAATTAATTTCATTTAGAAGTTCGTATAAATAATCATTTGTTACACCAAAACATTAAAGCATACAAAAGCAGAATTTACAAAAGTTATCTTCAGTCCTCAACATGTCCGCCGTTCCTTTCCACGCAAATTCTTGCCCTCCTTATCATGCTAAAAACGGCACGACGAACCATTTGCCTGTTCTATTTCAGAATATCCATCTCGTGTTGAATTCTCGCCTCAATCTCGTCCAGGTTTTCCGGTGGAGTGGCATAAATGCACAATGAAGCATTTGAACAGCTGCCAATATGACAAAGCTATTGTGTAGTGCAACTATACACTACATAACAGCTTTGGGGTAAAGTAATAATTAGTCCAACAACCGTACCACCACCATACTAGTAACATTAATTAGCTAATGCCCAACATATAGGACATGATCCAGTGGGTGGCTGGAATATATTTCAATTTTGTATGTTAGCATTAATCTAAAAGTCTCAAGACTTCACTGTTTTGCCAGAGAAACTAGAATATATTTTGAGTGCATAATACATTTAAGATGAACCTTACCTGATTTGCTGTTGATGGCCCATAAATAACAGTGTCTTGTGGATCCATATCCCCGTGGTACCTCCTCAAAAATGAATTCATTGTAGCCATCACTTCTGTCTCTGTGCCTTTGTCTACTCTGAGAATGGCAGAAATTATTCGTGTTTCATAGAGATGCTCCAGGTACCATTTCCCAATGATCTTAGGGTCGCAATTGGTCACCCATATCCTTAGCCAGAGAAGTTTTCGACTTGCGGTGTCCAGGCAATATAGCTAATGGGAAAGTTGAATTTTGGTATCCATTAGCTTATCGTGGCCGTCGAGAGAGTGGACCCAATTAGTGCCTTTTGTGGTGAAATTTCCTTTTTTTCATTGCTCCTTTTCACCGACCCCACCTCTTGCTTGATATCCCAATAACAACCCCGGCTCCTTCAGTTCGGTTTGAACTGCCTGAATAACTTCATATACTGTTACAC